GATGGATGGAGATGACCAGTAGATTAGAGAATGTTAGTCTTGTTTTTGCTTGAAAAATAAGTTTTAATTTCTAATTTAAAAAGTTGTTTAAATTAATTTCAGCTTCTCATTTGCAAGAATTTGCTGTTTTTCTTTGTCTCATGTGATATAAGCCCAGTGTTTTGGTTTTTGGGGGTGTCGGTTGGACAAAAGAACCAACATAAGGCAACAAAAATAATTCAGCTTCAGCTATTTTAATAATAATAAAAATTGATCAGATTTATATAGCGCTTTTCTAGACACTCAAAGTCACTTTACACTGTCGATTATTCATTCATACACATTCATTCTGGTGGTGGTAGCTACGATTGTAGCCACAGCTGCCCTGGGGCAGACCGACAGAGGCGTGGCTGCCATTCTGCGCCTACGGCCCCTCCGACCACCACCTCAAACAATCCATTCATACGCATTCACACCAGGCAAGGTGGGTGAAGTGTCTTGCCTAAGGACACAACGACCATGACACAGGTTACAGGGCGGAAGTGAACCGCTGACCTTCCGATCATTGACCGACTCGCTCTACCACCTGAGCCACAGCTGCCCCACGTTTTCCCATGCTAACAATGTAAAATGCATAGAATGAGTTATTATCAACGTGAGTAGCAGAACAGACACGAGTGGAGAAGGATCAGTTCAGGAAAACATCAGGAGTAAAATCACACATAGGTGATGGATAAATACATCACCAGCGACTTGACGGCTGAACGCGCCGCCTGTGTGTCTGAAAACCGACAGCTCTCGGTCTCCAAATGAGCATCATGTCGCGATACAATCAGCGGTCACCCACTAATCAAACCTAGACAGTCGCTTCGACGGCATTGACAGCTTTCATTGATTTTCTCGTTATTGCTGTTTTGTGTTTGGATTGTAGCAGAGATGGCAGGAGCTCCGTTGATATAAAAACTGTCACACTAAGCTGAAATGAAACCAATGCTCATGATTTCAGTTTTTAAATTCTTTAGATTTTTTCTCATGCTGTGTGGGCCGTCACTCTTGGTCTGTTTATGAATGCAGAAGATTCAAACAATTTCAATGGGAGGGACTCGCATGCAACATGCAAGCATGGCTGGACCGACTCTAAAAACAGAGAACTGAAAATAGATATTTCAGTCTTGAGAGGTTACTCCCGCTGCTACTTTGATGCCATTTAAAAATTTTTTTGCACATTACGCCTTTAAACCCCTTCGCACCCCAATAATGGGACATGACTACCGTCCAAAAACATTGTGGCCAAGTTTCCTGACCATGTACACATCAAATGAAACCTTAGAGTCTCGTCTTTCCAATGATACAAATGTTTTTGACCTGCAGCAACCACAGCGTTGACACAAAGACCTTTTTTTTTTTTTACAGAAGAGCAAAATGTTAAAATCCGACTTTTCTTACTTTTGAAGGCTCTCTGAAGCTCAAACATTGATCATTCCTCACCAGGTTGGTCTCATTCTGTTCATACACATCCAGTGAACATAATCCAGTAAAATTATTTGGTCTGCAACACATATTAGATCCTCAAAGGCACAAATGCTGCAGTAATGTCTTCCCAGCTTGAGATCAGCTCCAGCTGTTTTGTTAATTCCTTCTGGCGAAATCAGGCAGAATCTATTTTGGATCGCACTAAAAGTGCTACACAAGGCTACACGGAAGTTGGAGACAAATCAAGATGGCGGTGTGAGCAGTTTGGTTTCAAGCAGTGTCCGATAGAAAATTCACTTTTCACATCCAAACTCTATTTGAAGGAAAAAAATAAACAAACCCACAAGGTAACAGAAGTGACTTTGAATTGTTTTTGACAAACTGCTGAACTTTTGGAAACTTAACTGTCCCGACACTACGAATCACCAGAACGATGGCTAACCTGGAGCAAGCTAGCATCATCGACCATGATTACGACACCCCGCAGCTGACTGAAATCAGGGGAGAAGACGAAATCCAAGATATGGAGCAAACCTTTGCCAAGCCTGAAGACAATCATGCTCCCATCAACACCCCGAAACCAAATAAGCTGAAAAAAGAAGAGTGAAAGAAAGGGAAGAAATTTTTGATAGCTTCACGCAAGCTTTTCAGTCAGTTATGAAGAGATTTGACAGTCTGGTTGGGAAACTGGGAAACATTGAGGAGCGGATGAATAACGTTAGAGAAGCTCTGAAAAAATCTGATGCCTTGGAGGACAAACTGCAGAACATTGAAGAACAGATGAAAACAAAGAAAACGTTGAAAAGCTACAAGTTGAACTTCTGACTGCAGAAAGCAAATCCCTGAAGGAAAAGGTTTTGGAAGATGCCAGATATAAGAGGAGCTCACAGACGGGCAGGACTCTGGCGCAGCAGTCAGCAGGCCAACCAGACGTCATTTTTACTTTGCTGCAGGTGGATCGTTTAAGTTTGGCTTTCTATTCCATAAATACGAGGAGGATTCAAATAGACATGAATATTTTATTTGAAAGTAATCTTCAACCCAGCATCTTTTTTTCTTCAAAGATCAAAATGTTTTTGTTGCATGCAGAAAGAAAATGTAATTTTCTCTGTAGCAGTTCATTGATTTCAGAAATGCAACACACTATAGTTTTTATACATAACATGAAGGTAAAAAAAAAAAAACGATATATGTAGTGTTTATTTTTTTTTATACTTTATTTTTATTTTCTGTTTTTCACACAACAAAACAACAAATACAAAGATACAACAAAACATAATAATTGAACAGATATTTGGTCACCTATTCAGCCACACGATACTTTATTGTTGGAATTATAAGACATTGACTCACTATATACAAAACACACCTTATGGTGACACAAACACAATCCATTTTTTCCAGTACCTCAAGAATTTGTCAGTTCTTAGATTTAGTGAGAAGGTAATTCTCTCCATACTTTGAAGATTTACAACCAAGTTCCTCCACTCAGTCTCTGTAGGAGGGACGAACTGCAACCACTTACGTGTTACAGCTTTCTTGCTGGCAGCGAGTAAGATGTTTAACAAATATTTGTCCTGCACCAGCAAGTTGGCTTCAATATTTCCCAGATAAATTGTAGGAAAAGACCAGTCAATTACATCCCCAAACATTTTCAGAATTATACATTTTATCCTCTGCCAGTATGGTTGGATGACTGGGCAGCTCCAAAATATGTGAAAATGATTTGCCAACTGCTCTCCGCATCCCCTCCAGCATCGACCTCTTCCCTCATCACCAGTCTGAATAGATTGTAACTTTGGCGATATAAAATATCTGGTCAAATTTTGCCAACAGAATTGTCTCCGTACACCTGAGCTGGTGGAAGTAGACTGTACAGATATATGCAGTGTTATCTTCATTTTAGATGTCAAAGGGGTTTCGTGGCTCCCGGTGTTTTCTTTTCTGTGGGAAACGGGTCCAAGTGGCTCCTTGAGTGTTTAAGGTTGCCGACCCATGTCCTAGACAATCCAACAATATCTGAAAAACACTGGAAATTTCTAAAATGGCCAATCATGCCCAAATTAAAAGAAATGCAAATTAAAATGATGAACTATTATCCATCACCTGAGACACTGAGGGGTAGATTTGGTTTTGAAGTTGACCCATGTGACTTTTGTCGCAAAGAGCCAGAAAAAACCGAACATTTATTCTTCTTTTTCCCAGTGAGGAGGAAATTCTGGTAAGATGTACGTAACTGGTTATGTAACAAACTTGAGTGAACTTGATCAACTTACAATCCAGAATATTCTATTATACAAATTTAGGCTGTGTCCGAAATCACCCACTACACCCTACATAGTGCACCATATAGGGTGTTCACCATTTTGTAGTGCTGTCCGAATGTTAGGTTACAAACGTTTCACCCTATATAGTGCACTCAAAGTATCCCACAATGCACCGTGAAAAGTAGTGTACCGCTGATGGTCACTAACCAAGCAATATGGAAATGGAAAGACCAATGAGAGCGTGGAAACTTGTCATTAAAATGTAAGTAATTTCCCGTTTATGATTTGTTAAATTTTATTTTTCCCATTTCTTAGATACGCAATAAACTGTGAAAATGATGTGTTTGTACTGCGCTACCACGGCACAAAACGTGGCTTGCAAGCGACATAACTAATATCTCGAGTAGTGTCTGAAATGTTAGTTTGCCGAGGTGCTCCCTGCACAGTTCACTACATGGTTCAGTGGTCCCTATGTGGGGAGTAGGAAGTGAGTGGATGATTTTGGACACAACCTTAAACTTACAAGGGAAACTTCATTTTTGATGAACATTGTTATTATTATGAGAAAATACCACATCCATAAAAATACATGGAAAAAACAACTGTCAAACTTAAGCTGTTTTAAAAATGAATTAAAAATGTGTTCTCCTCCTTGAATTAAAAAAAAAAACAACAATAAGACTGCAGAAAACATTTGCAACGCTGCTGAATGTTCGTGATCTTTTAATGCATTTTATTTTTTTAATGCCTTAAAATGTGATGTTTGCACATAATTATCAATTTTATACTCCGTTTCGGTGCCTTGCCTTTTTATGTCTTATGTTTTATGTCTTTTTAGTTTGGTTGAGAAAAAAAAATAACTACACGGAAGCGTTAGCTTTTGATTGACACTTAGTTTGGCCAATACGAGGGCTTTGGGGGGGGGGTGACTGACACTCTGAAGAGCCAATGAGTGTCTCAGATAGGTCAGCCCTTTATGCACAAGTCCCACCCTCGCAGATTCAACCAATTGGGTTGAAACACTCTTTGGCGCCTAAACCTTCTAGCCAATGGGCAGACGAACACGCCGATGTGTAGGATGCGAAGATTTTCTTCGTGTGCAGACAGTGGAAGCCCGGCGGAGTGTGTGCGTCCTCCATTTTGTTTGTTTGGGATCGTTGTGGAGCGTATAAATATGGCAAAACCTTCGGAAGAAATAGAGTTCTCAGTGGAGGCAAGCCAGGTGTCCTGCACGGGTCGAGACAGCGACGTCTCAGATCCGGAGAAGTCGGAGGCAGAGAGCGACATTTCCGATGTGGACTCGGCTGCCGAGGACATGTTATGGCAAGGCAAGGATCCCGGTCTCGATAGGTAAGTGTAATGTTGTTATTCTTTGGGTATTATTCAAAAAAAGATATTAGTGAGGTGTGTCAAAAATATTTGGTATAAATGGTAAGAGCTCACAGCTAAGCCTGTGTAGTAAAGCATTTGTATTTCTCTTTTGTAGGGACGACCCTGATGACCCAGAATGGAAACCGTTGGCTGAGTTTTATGTGGAAGAAGATGATCCTGAGTAAGTGATTGTATTTGTAAAAATTATTATTTGAATGTAATGTATTGTAAGTCTGTGGAAACTGTATACGACTGTTTTTGCTGTAGGTAGTAATGACAAAGCAAGAAAGTAAGTTGTAAATGTTCTCACTTGTGGGGAAAGGTCTCTTTGTTCCTTGGTAGCTGTAGGCTGCAAAATGCATTGTAGTAGTTGTAAAGTGGTGCTTGTTCTTACACAGTATAGAACTATAATCTTATCTGTGTGTTTGCTTGTTTTTAAATTTTAGACATTCTTCTGAAGGTGACCCGGAACCTGAACTCCAACCAACTCCATCCAAAATATCACGTTTGGAGTCAACACCAAAAAAAGGCAGGGGACGGGGGAGGGAACGAGCAAGAGGGAAAGGGAAAGTGAGAAGACGTAGCACCAGCAGAACAAGCCCTTTACCTGCAGACGGTCGGGCGTGGTGTGACACTGAGGTACCAGATACCACACCTACCCTGCCCCCCTTTTGTTCAGCACGGACTCCTGGATCCCAGCTCATCGGCACTGTAGACTACACCGTTTTAGAGCTGTTTCAGCAGTTTTTTACAAACACCATTTTACTGACTCTGATAAAAAATACGAACACGTATGGAAGAGCTACATATAAACCATGGGTGGACATTACGCTCAAAGACATCTTTTCTTTTCTGTCAGTTGTCATTTACATGGGAGTCATAAAAGTACCAAATCTAACTGACTATTGGCGACAGGGGAGGTTGTACAGTTTTCCATACCCCAAGTCAGTCATCACTGGAAAGAAGTTCCTCTCAATTCTTCATGCTCTTCACCTCAGCAGTCCAGAGGATGATGCTGAAAATGAAAAAGCAAAAGGCACTGCTACGTTTGACCGCCTGGGGAAAATAAAGCCAATGTACACTGAGATCAGGAATGTATGCCGTAATAATTATCACCCTGGCCAACATATTTCTATTGATGAGAGGATGGTGGCGTCAAAGGCTCGGACCATATTCAAGCAATACTTGAAAAACAAGCCGGTTCGATGGGGCTTCAAGCTGTTCGTTCTGGCAGACTCAGCATCAGGCTATACGTGGGACTTCTTTGTGTACGAAGGCAAAAACATGCAGCCCAGTAAAAAGGGGTTGAGCTATGACTCAGTTGTGAACCTATTGAACACTAATTTACTGGGCACAGGCTACAAACTCTACGTGGACAATTTTTATACCAGCCCAGCTCTGTTTCGGGATCTCAGAGAGAAAAACATCTCAGCCTGTGGCACCATCAGGTCCAATGTACAGGGATACCCCAGAACAGCAAACAATGCCCTGGACCCCAAATCTCCCCGTGGCAGCATCCGATGGCTTCGAGAAGACTCCCTGGTCTTTGTCCAGTGGAAAGATACGCGTGACGTCTCTATGTGCTCCACCATGCACACCGCCCATGGAAAAGAGACGGTGCAGCGCAACGTGAAGGACAATGCAGGCCAGTGGACAATGATAGATGTCCCCATTCCCCCAGCCATCAAAGACTACAACAGGTATGTATAATTTAGTATATATTTTGCCCTCTTGAAATATTTGTACGATTCTAATATATATGTGATTATTTGTTTTAGGCACATGGGTGGAGTCGACCTGTCTGATGCCCTAATTGGGTATTATGAGGTTCTCCACAAGACGAAGAAATGGTACAAGACTTTATTCTACCATTTTCTGGACATCGCCATCGTGAACAGCTACATCCTTTACAAAGAGCAGTGCAAAGTTAAAGGGAACAAACCAATGCACCAGAAAGCTTTCAGGGAAACTCTGGTCTTGGAGCTGGCTGATGCAGGATCCACCAAGGCACCACAACAGGAAGACAAAAGCGACAAAAGCACGCATCATCGTCTAGTGCACATCAGCGATAGCGGGGACAAAAGTCAGGGCAGGCTGCGTTGCAGGAAGTGCCAATCAAAAACCCCTGTAAAATGCTCAACATGCAACATTCCCTTGTGCTTTCTTCCAAACAGGGACTGTTATAACGAATGGCACACACAAAACAAGTCGTGAGTGTCATAGTGTGAAGAACATGTGTACAGTTTTAGTGTCTGTGAAATATACAGTCTGCAGTGTTTGTGTTAGTGTGACTTTTAAATATATATCTATGTACTTGCCCATAACACTTGCTTTGACTCTTTTTATGTGAAAGTCTGTGTTTTATATTGTTTTTACGATGAATTAGGAAATTTCTACAACTAATAGAGTGACTCTGTGTTCAGATATGGATTCCTCTGGGTATAAGCGTTCAGTAGAGCCCTTATTGATGTCTGTAGGTTTAAGCATTCAAAAGATATTGCACTTACATTGTCATAACAAGTATTGTTACAAACTTGCCTGGTCTCATGGAAGTCAAGTAGTGCAACCACCCTCGTTCAGGACACCACTGAGCTCTTAACCGCTTTTGAAAAAATGAAACCAGTGTATCTTAACAATAACATTTTTTTCTTGCAGTTTTCTGTTAGTTGTGAATCTCACTTCGATCTCTTTGTTTCTTCAGGCCGATAACTCGACCTCAGAACATCATTCTGGCTCAGGTAGATGATTCAGGAACCAAGAAGCAGTTGTGCAGCAACACGTGTCTCGCCTCCGTCAAATCCAAGAGGAAAGTCGCTGCTAAACCGCCGCCGAAAGAGGGACGTCGTTCAGAATGCCGGATGTGCGCCAAATATTGCCGAGTAAGAAAAAAAGTCAACCCTGTGTTTTTGGATTTTCCTCTTAGCAACAGAGACCAGCATTTCTGTGGCACTCAAGATGCAAACAGACTTTTTATTTGAAAAAGCCTCAGTCAGTCCCTAAAATACCCAAACAGCAGTAAATCGTCAACTTTCCAGACAATAGTTGACAATTATATAAACCATTAACTCAAAATTTCATTTGTGTGTTTCAGAGCAGTGAAAGGACTTAAAATAATCAGATGGATATTATTCCATCCATCTTGAAGTGCTGAATATATGAAAATGTGCATCTAGAACTGCTAAACATCTCTCTTCACATCTCATTTATTTGTTTATAATCATTTATTTGACGTTAATTTACATTTGTACAACAGTTGTGGTGTCTGAGGAGATGTGAGTGTTATCTTCAGACTGTGTTAACGTCACTCAGGCATGTTTTACAATCCTCAGGAGACATTTCACAGCTTTTTAATCAAAGGATTTGCATGAAGATGATTAAATAAGCATTTCTCTTTGCTGAGTTTAAGCAATAGAGCTCCAAGGCACAGAGGAAAAAGTCACCTCAGGCTTTGGATGTACAGACTGTGTTTGTTCTTAGGATCCGTGTTTCGATAGAATAATTCTGACACTAAAAAAATCACTCAAATGTGTTGCTGTCTGTATTATACTCGTGTTACCTTTGCATCCTCAGTGTAAGTTCAGCCTGAAGCTGGACGGCGTCATCCACAAACTCTGCAGCGACTCCTGCTTCATCAGTTACCACAAAGCCAACAACCTGCCTTTAGCCTCCTGTGACATCTGCGACTCTCCCTGCCTTGACGACCGACCCGAGCTGAAGGTGGATGACGGTGGCAAGAACGTCTGCAGCGATGCGTGTCTGCTCAAATTCAAAGAGGTGCAGAAACACAAAATATTTCTCTGTTTATGTCCAGGACAGTAGCTGTTATAGAAGATTATTCCAAAGTATTGAAGCCATAAAGTCACTATTAAAGCAGTAGGTAACGGCAGTCGGTCTTTCAGGTGTTAGCTTATGTCCTCACACTTTGAATTAGAGCTTCACCATTTATTCATTTCAAATTAAAATCAGTGATTGATGCAGTTACCAAATCACAAAGGCAGCTGTTTAAGACATATCATGCAGGATTTAAACTGTTGTGTTATGTTTTTACAATTTTTAGCTTTTTGATGGTATCTCTTGCGCTTTTTAGACTGTAGGCCTTTCTCTAAACAGAATTTGCTTCTCATGTGATCATCTTTTATGACTTTTTGGCAGCTTTTCAGTTCTTAATTAGTACATTTGTTTAGTTTACTTTTGTTTTTTTGCACATCAACTAATTTTTTTTCAGTTTAAGTTCAATTAAAGTCAGAAGCATTTGAATATTTGTCAAAAAGAGAGGAATTTGCATCGTAAACACAAGCAGCAGAATGTAATAATCTCACCCACACAGTGAGATTTGCTGCAGAGTCGACTGGTTTTGAACGTTTTAGTTGAGCGTTCACAGGTTCACACACCGTTCTGAGACTCTCAGTTTGAGCTGATCCTGTGCGTAACATCTCACATGGTTTCTTCTTGTTTTTCTTGCAGAAAGTTGAGGCGCAACGGCTCTGCCTCATGTGCCAGACGTCTCATCACGTGTCCGACATGGTTGAAAACACAAACAGCGAGGGCACATTGGAGTTATTCTGCAGCAACAGATGCATGATGGTGCACGGCGCTCAGACCGCTGCTGTGTTTGGTAAGAGGAGCAATGCTTAGAAACACAGCTGCAGTCATGAGTTTTGAAAGCAGTTTTGAAAAATAAGGCCAAGAGGAAGCTGCATTTGACCTCTTTCTTTGCTAAACATTTTTTCCTCGTCCTCCTGCATCTTCATGGAAGAGCAGGAATATATGAACTCTAATTTATTAGAATTTTTTTTTCTATCTTCTGCATTCAGAACTCAGTCTGTCTCTAAGATTTGAAAATTTGCCTCCAGCTAAAAGAAATTCTCCTTCTAATGACTGATGTTTTACTACGTTTGTACAGAAAAGAGGAGCCCTTCGCCTGAAGAGATAAACGTTGAAGAAGTGAAGCCATCGCTCCCGAGTCTGAAATGTGTAAGTAAATGTTTAATGGTAATGTCTTCTGCAGTAATTGTAAAGCATGGTGATGATTTTAAACTCATTTAGGCACCGCAGCGTGAATATTTTTGTAATGATGAGTATGATGTATACTGTAGGAGTAAAGCTGACTTTGTTGCTGATGAGTATCCTCAAAGTTTAACAGCAGCGAGGTGTTTCTTCTCAGGATGGATCAAGTGTACACAGGTCACAAATGTGAACAAAAGTACTGTTTAAGAATAAATCTTGACTGTTGTTACGTCACAGGTCCCTTTACTCCACACAGAGGTCTCTTTTCTAAGTTTTAACCATCTAATCCAGTTTTTTCTTGATAAAGATAAAAGAAGAGCCCATGGATGAGGACAACAGCCAGAGTCTCCCAACTTCTGCATCTCATCAGGACATCAAAAATGAGCCGAATGTTTCAAAGGTAGGAGCTGATGAACAACCTGCAGAGAACAGTGCAATGAGGCAAACGAGACTGTATGGAATAACTACAGACTGACTGTTTTCAGGGACAGTATCGATTAAAAAGAACTGATATTTGGAAGGTATAACTTGGCATCATACTGCAAAAAACACACGTAGAACTCTCTCTGCTTCCAGCTACACTTGTTCTGTTTCCATAGAGGTGCAGGACTTTATAGCACGATGAAAAATGAACCCACAGTGAGAAATAATGTGACGGGAGGCATTACTAACAGGCCTCCGCTGCATTAGACACACAACATCCTCGTCAACATCCTGAACATAAACCCTGCTCATGTTCCTCTACCTTAAATCATTTTCGTTTCGTGGTTGTATGAAGAAGAGACACAGTAGTAAATATTCAAGCAGTTTGTAATAGTTCAGCCGTTTTCTGCGCATCAAGATGTTTTATGTTTCTGTTCTGGTTTTGACAGGAGGACTTGCAGATCGGTTCTGTTTTCTCTTTGACCGAAGACTCCAAACCCTTGGAGCCGACTGTGGCCCCCACGGATCTGTTTGCGTCCTGCTCCAGCTGCAGAAATGTCCTGATGGACGGAGAGACTGTTTTCCAGAGGAAAGGCCACCAGGAAATATTCTGTTCCTCCTCCTGCCTTCTGAAATTTTTCCAGATGAAGCCAGTGAAGAAGACGTGCCACTTCTGCCTTCAGTGAGTCGTGTTTTCTGATCTGCTTCTTCTACCAACGTCCTTCAGCTCCATTTTAACATCCTCACTGTGTCAGATTGTAGGTTTTGATTCGCTCTTGTTCCTCCTTGTTCTCTCAGGGCGATAACGCAGCATCAGGACGTCCTCCAGGCCTCGGTGGATAACGACGGGACTGAAAGGGATTTCTGCAACCAGACCTGCTTGTCCTCCTTCAACTACAAGAGCAGCGCGTCGACCAAAATCCCCATCGTCCCCGTCTCATCGCAGTCACAGTGCAGCATGTGCAGCAGATACTGCATCGTAAGTGCAGCTTCACTAATACCATGATCTCAACCACAGTTTTGACACTTTTTTTTAGCAAACATTACTTAGAAATCTAACCATAAAATCAGCAGCTCACTTATGAATGTTCCAGCCCAGTGAAGCTGTATTCTCCAAGTTTTAAATAAATATGAATTGTGTCTGTTTATGCTCCCTGCAGAGTAAAAAGGAGATCATCCAGCAGGGCGTCGTCTACAAGATCTGCAGCGATCCCTGCTTCCTCCGTTTCTGCAACATGAACAACTTGTCGGGCTGCGTGAACTGTTGCTCTCACTGCAACACGCCGCTCACGCTCAAGATGAAGGACGGAAACAAAACGCTGTGCAGCGCAGAGTGTCTGGGCCAATACAAGCAGGTACGAAGGTGAAGAGCATTGGTGCAGTTTAGTGGAAAGCAAAGTTTGAAAGACATGCAGCAGTGCTTGGTTAAGTTTTTTGCTTCTTTTAATGAAAAATCTGAGAGTTACTTCAGTACATAAGGCAATAAATGACAAATATTTAAAAAATGAATGTTTGCTCTACAAGACCAGGTGACAGCTGATAATTCTTACATGTAAAATGTGCTGAATTGGACCGAGTTGGTGACTTTGGATTTTGTCTTTTCTTTGGCTTATGTGACAGAAAACCCAAACCCCAGAGCCGTGTGTGATGTGCCAGACCTCGAAACCGATGTCAGACATGGTTGAAAACAGAAACAGTGATGACGTGTTGGAGCTTTTCTGCTCCAGCAGTTGTGTGATGTCTTCAAAGATCCAGACGGTCATTGCAGCAGGTACGACACAGCTGCTCCCAGACTGTGGGTCTCTTTCTTTTGTTCTTCATTTTTAGACTTGAGGTGCTGCAGGTTTTTCTCAGTGCAGTGGACTCAACATGCAGACAGACAGACAGGATGAATGTATTGAAACTGTCAAGCAAATTTAAAGCAAACTTCAGGAATGTCATGAAAATGTAAAAACTACAAATGCGATTTAAGGTTTGTTTCCATTAACTACTTTGAAGGCTGCATAGTTTAGTTTAAAGTGGTGCTGTGGGCTGTGTTACAAATGGCTGCAATAAACAGAGTAGAACAAAACCAGTTGTTTGCCAATTGTCAAAAAACCTAGAAGCAGAAAACAAACAAAACTTGGAAAGAAGCCTTTGTGAGTTGTTTTCAGTCTGGAAAGTTGTAATTATCATTTAATCTCAGCCGACGTCTGCCGTGTTTCATGTTGTCCAGAAGCTGTAGAGGCAGAAACAGCTGATGAGTCAAATGTTTTCTATGTCAGAACTTATTTATCTCCTATGAAACACATTAAATATTTAAGGAAAAAGGGGGAAAAGAGCATCTTAAGGGGGCCTAAAAATTGCAAAATGAAGGATGTTTGTTTCAATTTTTGCTGTTTCCACTAACCTTTTGTATTTTCTTTGTAATACGATACTTCAAAATGCTCATAAATGCACGTTTGGGGGACATCAGTGCTCTAAGGTTGTTCATTAAATGCTTGTGATTTGTCTTTAATGAAACCTCGTCTTCCCTTCAGGAGCCTCAATGAATTGTAACCACTGTAGTAAGACGTCAGTTCCAGCCTGTCATCTCGCCATGTCGGACAACTCCATCAAGAACTTCTGCACTCTAACGTGTGCCATGGCCTTCAAGGTAACACATCTTTAACAAAACTCACATGCAGTGTGAATACAGCTGACAGTATTCTGTTTATCATCATCAACATACCAACCAGCTCTGAATTGCTCCCAGGAATGGCTGAATTTTTTGCAAAAAAACTTGTATCTGTGCCTTAAAGATTATCCAATAACATGGTTTAAACGCTCCTACCTTAACATGAACGTGGTCACGAGCTGTTTTCTCGTCATTCTCTCAGTTTTCGTAACACAAAGTGCACGATGTGTTGGAATGACCAAAACTTCATCCTCCATGAAACGTAGCAGAAAAAGTACAGTTTGAAAAGGGCTGAATATTAAAAACTTTCTTCTATAATCAGTTTTGACAGAAGTAGCTTTTATACCCTTTATAGAGGTATATAAGTATATTTATACAAGCCAAGCTACTGTGGTTGTGGTTTAACTATAAGGCATGAAGCTCAGTTGACAGGTTTTTAGGAATTATTTAAAAGATGAAGACCAGAATGCATCAGTAAATTTCTGTGTGTCAGCAGGCAGATGGTCTGTATGAATGTATTTTAAGGCACTGAAATTGCATGTTTTCTGATGTTTATTATCACGTGCTGTAAATTCTCACCACTCACCAAATATAATAAAGGACAACTAAAAATGAACTATTCCAAAATCTGTCATATTACAAAAAAATATATACATTTGTGACCTGTAGGATAAAGATTTTCATGTCATAATTATGGTTAGCAGGAGGACTAACAACTTGTTGTTTTGATGCTATTTATGGACACGTAGACAAACGCAGATTATACGGGTTAGTTTTAGTTAATCATTGATTAATTTTAGCTTTCTTGGGGGCTCATCTTGATTGAAAGCTGGGTAAAGGACAAGCATCACATTTATCAGATCGCTGGTGCTTCAGTTACATTAAATCAGAATCAGCTTTAATGGCCAAGTACGTACACAACATACAAGGAATTTGGTTTCGGCCGTTGGTGTCGCCCTAGGAATTTGCACGAATAATAGAAATAGGAAAATTAAAAAATAAAATAACTAAAGAAAGAAAAGAATAAAATACAATAAATATTAATAAAAAAATAAAACAAGATAATAAGGCAAATATATACAAGAATGTGCACATCTAGTAGAAAAAGGTAAAGAAATGTGTAATTAAACTACTGGTACACTTGCAGAAACCAAAACGTGATTTATCTCCTGTGATCGACTGGAAACCTGCCCGGCATGTCCACTGATGTATCCCTGCTGAGATCACTTTACTTCCACACAACCCTCCCAAGCATCACAGCATAAAGCTAACGAAGAGAGTTGTGCTGCTAACACAAGCAAAATCTATCAAAAACACACTAAAGTGATGCACTGTTGCAGTAACATGCTTCTTCTTTACAGTCAGCGTGGCGAGTGTGCGGAGAGATGTTCCCCAACTCCTATTTTAACTACCTTGCCTTATTTATCTTACATAGATTTAAAACCTGTGCTTGTTTTGTGCTTTTCTGTGCCACATTAGAGCAAGAGAGAACTCGCTGCTTCCAGCGACTCGGCAGGAGCCTCCAAACCTCCAGAGAAACTGCTGTGTGCTCAGTGTGGACGCATCATCAAAACTACACCCAAAGTCATCCAGAGAAAGGTGTGTGTGTGTGCTCTGTTTTACAACACAGAAAGACCCAGTTGGTGTAAAGTGCAAGCAGAGGCGCTAATGCTGTTTTAGAAGTTCTCATTTCTTGGACTTTTAATGCCGTCGCGCCACTGGATCGTACAGTTTCAGTGTGTTGTCGGCGCATCCTACACTCTGCAGGCCATGAAGAGGGAGTTCACGTGGACTGACCTTGTGTTTTTCTGCAGGACAAGGTGGACTTTGTGTGCAGCCTGGCCTGTTCACAGGAGTTTAAGAAGGCCAACAACATCACGGGAACCTGTGAGTACTGTAAGAACGTCAGGATCGTCAAGGACGTGAAGAGGGTCGAGGGCGAAGACTGTTGCTTCTGCAGTGACAGTAAGGAGACACACGACTAATGCAGGGTTGTGTAGCGTTTCTCAGTGTTTATCAGGGTACAGGAGGATGCTGCACAGAGATGCTACAACGGCATCTCAGGATCCTGACCGACTGTTGTCCAAGGAGTGTGTCGGTGTGAACGGACGGAGTGTGTGAGCGGTAACTCAGGGACGGTGGGAATAGTTGAATATTGTTTTGTGACGGGAGCTGCTGTTTATTACAAATGTCAATGATTTTGCCTGTGACTCTGTTTGGTTCTGTGCAAAAATGAATAAAGAAAATTTGAAAACCGGACTGATACTTTAAGAATGAGTGTTTGGGGCGGCCGCTGCAGCTCACCTGGTTGAGCTGGCGACCCATGTGCAGGGGCTACAGTCCCCGATGCAGCGGCCATGGGTTCAAACCCCGCTCATGGCCCTTTGCTGCAAGTCCTTCCTCCATTCTTCTCCCCCACTTTCCTGTCTCTCTCTTCACTGTCCTATACAATAAAGGCAAAAAGGCCAAAAAATAATAAGAATTTAAAAAAAGTGTTTAATAGAAGCTGTGTTCACTGTGAGCTACATTGATTTGTGTTTTTAGCAAACCTACCAGTGTGACAAACATCTCTGTGGGAACATACGACTCTCACGCATCAACTCACATCACTGCAGGCTGCTTACAATCAGGCGCGTGTTCAGTGTTCAGCAACATGTTAGTTATGAATGATCAACTGAATTCCTGCAGGAGGTTAAAATATGCGCTAAAGTTTATTTAGCCTTTTATAAGCACGTTGAAGGTAGAGTAACATCATGTAAAAAGGTGATATTTATGAAGATTTCCTCCAGTTCTGGTTAGATATGAAAACATAAACACTGTCGTCACTACACTGTAAAAAAAAAATAAAAGTTTACCTGTAGTTTTTTTTGGAAAATTTACTTTTATTTTACAGATTTTACTCATAACTAGTAAAATCGTACAGAAAAAAATAGTAATTTACACTTTAATAGTAAAATATGTTCATGTTAACAAATACTATTTTGTTCTTTTACATTTGATTTTATTATCAGCGAAAAATGTAGTTTTGCAAATATGTCATTAGATTACAGAAAATTATATATAATATTTAAAAATGGCAACTTTAAATGGTTATTTGGCCGATTTTGTCTGTTTTGTCAGTTATAGATATTTAGTCAAATCTGGGTGTTAGTATTAATTTGCAAGTTGACTAAAGAAAAAAACTACAGTAATTATTTTACAATGTTTGACTGTAAAGTTACACAATATTTTACTGTATTCAGGACCCCTAAATATATTGTTGTTTAACAGAAGCATTATATTAAAACAAGTACAAATTTAAAAGTAAGAATTTACGTTGTGATTGTTAAACAAACAGGCTAAAACAGAACAGAATGTCCACTTAAACAATCTGTATTTTCATAAATAGGAGTTTGTTCTTTTACATTGTGTGACTACAAAATTACACTGTTTTACTGAATGTAAACCAGCTAAAATATCATTACAACAGATGTTTGATGCTAATTTCCCTGTTTTCACCATGGTTAAGTGTTAAAGTGTTCTGTTTTTAGTGTCTTCTTATTCCGGCATCCTCATTTTGACCATTTCTTGACAGGATTTTTAATTTTACAGTGTAGTTTACTCCTGATGTTTCACAGCTTCTCGTTCTATCATCTGTTATTCCATAACTTGATGTTCCTGCTGTGGCGTCGTTTCAGTGTTGATGTATTTTGGAATGATGTCATGTTAAAGTCAGGTTTTTGGTATCATGACAGCAGCAGGACATTATTCAGTGCGTTTAAGGCTCATTTCACTCGATGTTGTCAAACTACTAGAAACCTCTCTTGTCTGTCCTCCAGGCTGCAGGGTTCTCCTTCATCACGACCTGGAAAAGAAAGAAGGTCAGCGCTACTGTTCGTGCTCCTACTGCCTCTCCATCGCCAAGACTGTGGTGACGAAGCACAACGAAGGCACCGAGCAAGAGTTCTGCTCCAAAGAATGCAGCAAAAACTACAAAAACCTCCAGAACCACGTCAGTACAAACAGACAAAGTAGTTTCTCATTGTTGAAATCGAGTGTCGCATCTATTTGGTAGAAATTCTGTGTCAAACGCACAACAACGTAACGCTAAGTTGAATCACATAATGGTATTTTTTTTACAATATTTTATGGACCCAATAAATTGACAGTAATCAGGTTCACCTGTAGGCTGATGTTTGAGAAGTTCTGCACCAAGTTTTACTCATTTCTTGCTCTTAGGGTGCAAAATGTGACGCCTGCGGCTGCAAAGGGAAGCTGAAGCAGAGTCTTCCGATGGTGGGAGAAGTCAAACACTTCTGCGACCTGAAATGCTTGCTGCACTTCTGCAATAACGAAGTCCACATGGGCGGCACAGGTCTGCACATTCACTGCGTTTGTCTTTTTGCTTATTACTCGTCTTTCATGCCCCTTTGTGCTCAGAAGTTACAAAACCAGACATTTAGTGGATCTTGTCTTTGTTTAATGCTCATGTAGAGCGAGAGGCATCCAGCTCTGAAAAGTCAGAATTTTATTACATTTCTTGTCCCAAACTCAAGTGGAATCCACTGCTTGTGGTGAAAAACTAGTATAAGTAGCGTCTGCTCAGTTCAGTTCTGTCTTTATGAAGACATTTGGTTGTAAAAACAGTGACAACATTTTACACAACCCATTTCCAGAGCAAATTAAAATATATATATATATACATTTAAATCACATCCTTAAATATTGGAAGAAGAATTAATATTTTTAAAATGTTCCTGTGTGAATGTCAGACTGATGAGTGAGTTTTTACTTTTCAAACTGCAGATCATAAAGAAAAACAGCACTGACTTGATTGATTTATAAAATAAAAATCTGTAGAATCAGAATCAGAAAAACCAATTGATCCCCTAGTCTTGGAAATATAAGAAGTACAAAATAAAAAGTAGATGAACGTGAGTAGAAAAGTATGTCCTGGAAATATAAACATCAGTAGAAAAGTATAATATGTGCATTGTTCTAAGAAAAATTAAAAATATAAGTTTGCAGTGTAATAAACAGTAATGGGATTTTATTTGTTATTTACACAGAGAGGTGCTGTTGTTATTTTTTTTTGTACAACTCTTCTGTGTTTACATAAAAGCATTGCTCATTATTATTAGTAGTAAATATTTAAAAGTGTTAAATCTCCACCTTCTGGCCTGGAAAGTGTGTGTCAACATTTTAAAGTAGTAAGTAATTCTAAAAGTAATGAGTAGATTGTGTTGAGAGGGAAACTGCCACTGACACACGCCAAATGTTCAGTTAAATGACTGGTTGTGTTGTTTCCCGATTATTCTAAAAATGGGCCTGGATCAAATAAAATAAATAAGATAATTGCACAGACTTCATATCTGTGGATGAGATTCAGACCTGATGTGGATTTTTAGGCGTGTTTTCTTCCACGTTGTTGAGATTTAAGGTCCTCAGGTTTGCCTACCTTTGACTGTTTTATAAAATCTTGTAGAATCAACGTCTTCTCTTGTTCTGCCTGCAGCTTCTCCACCTTCTGGCTCTGCAGCGACAACACAGTCCTCTCCCGTCATCACCAGTGTCATTTCACTGGCCAGCGCTCTGTCTATGCGACAGAGAGCTTCAGCAAACTCGCCACAGATCGGTACAAACACGTGATTAATTTATTCTTAAATACTGAGCATATTTGGTTCTGCTGCTGCTCTGATTTTTTTCTCTCTCTACAGCCTCCATCGCTGACATTCAAACGAAGGTTGTTGGACACGTAAGTTTATAAACAAAAAGTCCTTCACCTGATGCAACAACAACCTATAAGCCTGTGTTCTTGCTTCTTTTAATGTTTGATTTATTGTTGAGGATGTCTTTATGATTTCTCAGGCCAGCGTTCAGACAGTCCCCAAAGAACTGAAGAACAAATCGATGCTCTGCACGCCGCTGGTGCACAACAAAGGGACCTCGTGTACAGTAGAGACGACTGAAACTGAGGCACAAACAGGTAAAACACAGGCGTCACCATTTTTGTGTCTCACTGATTTTGATGAAACTTGACTAGTTTGAAGGGGTCCACCCAAACCTGCTTTAATCTAAGTTAAAGGAAATTTGGTCAAACTCGGGGGGAGTTTGTCACCCCCTTGTTTGTTTTTTTAAAATTACAAAAAAATCACCTAAAAAGTTAGTCAAAAAGTATAAATCTCTACTGCTATAATAATTCAACCAAATCTTTTCATATTTTCAGTGAATGTTATCCTACCCAAGGACAATCTATTGTCCACGTTTCGTTCTCCTACGACTAGTTCCTACCCTGTGCCATAATTACAGAATCAGCGCGTTATAATGAAAACAAATTGAAGCAGGTAACCTGCGGTGGAAGACGTGTTTCAGTGAGTGCCCAAAGATTTTTTTTTTCAGATAATATTAGTATGAAGTCCCACCTTTTAGACAGTATGCTCAGTTTTTTGAAGCATTCTCCAGCATTGGAGATATTTTGACCTAAACTTTGGGTATTTTAACAGTTTTCACCATTTGGTGAGAGGGGCGGTCTTGACTGACATGATTTGTGTGATAGGAACTAGTCGTAGGAGAACGAAACGTTGACAATAAATTGTCCTTGAGTTGAATAACATTCACTGAGAATATGAAAAGATTTGGTTGAATTATTATAGCAGTAGAGTTTTATACTTTTGACCAAGTTTTAGGTGATTTTTGGTCATTTTTGTGAAAAAAAAAAAAAAAAGAGGGACAAAAGCCCCCCGAAGGTGACCAAAAATCCCCTAAAACAGACACAAAAAGAGTTGGGGGGACACCCCCAAAAACAGAGCGCGTGCGCCCCCCCCCCCGGCCCATAGCGGAGACACACTCCAAAAAAACAAGCCAAAAAGATCCACAGAATGCACAAACCTGAAAAAACTGAACAAAAGAAGGAAAAGAAGTAAAAACACTCAAAAAGCACCCTGGACTGCTGTGTTTAGTTTTGATTTTATCCACCAACGCTTTGTCGCAGTTCATCAGAAAATGTCCATATTAGAATAACGCACATCACGTGCTGATGGTAAAATCTGCACTCACTCGTTCCATCTTTCCAGAATTAGAAGCACTGATGTTGATTCTGTTTCTTTGTCTGAAGATGAAGTTGATCCCAAAGTCGTGGTCCTGCCCATCACGGTGCCGGTGCCGGTGTTCGTTCCCTTACCGATGAACATGTACAGTCAGTACACACCACAGCCTGTTGGCCTGCCCTTACCGGTAAGTCCGACACCTCCAAAGACATCGTATGAATGTAAATGAACAGATCTCATCGTTAAACTTCCCCTGTGGGTTACTTACATAACAACAATTATTCTAAGGTTTTTGAAATGTTCCGTTTAAAACTGCACGAGGCCGTATCTGATCATAAATGTGTTCATTTCCAGAACAGAACTGTGAACACTGAATAAAGCCAGCTGCAAAACTCTCGGTGCTTTTTGCTGACACATCCTCCTGGAGATCATATTGTTAAATCTGCCTTTTCCAAACTGTTTCTCTCAGCTGCCCGTACCTTTGTTTCTCACTGCGACGCCGGACGACTCTGAAACGACGGTTAAAGAGAAGACGCAGCCTGAATCCGTCACGCCTGAGACAGAAACTCAACCAACAGAGAGAGAAGGTGGCCCGAAGGACAGAGAGGTGACAAAAGAGGGAGAAAGACAAGAAAAAGAGCCTGTTGATGGTAAGACATTAGTATAATTACTCTACAAAAAGTTCTCAGCCTCACCTAGAAACAAGGGAAGTAACTGTAAACTATAAAGCCTATATCACTGTCCACAAAAACTCTAATGTTTGAAGCAATCAAAGAAAAAAACTGGAGGAAATTTTTGAGCTGCTGTTGCTGCAGGACAGTGAGCCGGTCAGCAGCTTCAGGTGGCAGAAGCAGCTAAATGTGGCTTTGAACTGTTGCTTTATGCACTTTAATCACCCGACCTGCATCACCTGGCTTCTATCTGTCCTCCAACTTAAATCCTTCTTGCTCAGTCGCCATTTTCAGAGTGATAATAAAGTCGTTCATGCTGTTGAGGAGAATCTGGAGACCCAAGATCTGACCTTCCTGCATGAAGGGACAGTGAAGCTGGAACATCAGAGGAGGAGTTGAAGATGTTGGAAAAAATAATGCAAGATCAATATTTCTCCCTGGATTAGCTTTTTGAAGCTCCGTCATACGTGAAATTATTTTGCTGTTAAACGTCCGTAGATGAAGACACATAGTCTACCTCTTACTGTCTGACTTTGGGCTGATTTAGAGCTTGTGGTTTGTACTTTTACCAGCATTTGAACACAGATGAACTAAAAAAAAACAACATTTAACACGACCGCTCTCCAAATAAAGTTGATCGTCTCAGAACCGTCTGAAATGTAGTAGACGATGGATCTGGGAAAGACAAAGCTGAAATATTTACGGCCAGACGATGTGGTCTCTGAAACGTCGATGCTTGTTGGGGGTGG